GGGCAAACTCTACTAAAGAGGACATAGTTTTTTATGTGTAGATTTTGAATGATGTTCCAGATTTAAGAGAAAAAAAAGAAAATCATATGAATTGTATGTTAGAAAGAAGGACAATAACAGAATTGTTCCCAACTGGGATTACAGGTGCAGGCCACACTGGCTAATTTTTGTATTTTTAGTAGAGAGGGGGGTTTTGCCATGTTGGCCAGGCTGGTCTCAAACTCCTTACCTCAAGTGATCCTCCCTCCTGGGACTCCTAAAGTGCTGGGATTACAGGCGTGAACCACCACGCCTGCCCACCTTTACTGATTTTTGAATGCTAGTCCACCTTTTCCATGCTAGAATAATCTTAACTTGTTCAAGACATGTCATCTTTTAAAAAATGTATATTTCTGGATTCTGTTTGTTACTATCTCAAGATTTTTCTCACTACATTCATGAATGATAATAGCCTGTAATTATCTTTTTAAAAAAATTTCCAGCCAGGCGCCGTGGCTCACGCCTGTAATCCCAGCACTTTGGGAGGCCGAGGCGGGTAGATCGCCTGAGGTCAGGAGTTCGAGACCAGCCTGGACAACATGGCAAAACCCTGTCTCTACTAAAAATACAAAAAATTAGCCGAGCGTGGTGGCGGGCGCCTGTAATCCCAGCTACTCAAGAAGCTGAGGCAGGAGAATCGCTTGAACCTGGGAGGCAAACGTTGCAGTGAGCCAAGATTGCACCACTTCACTCCAGCTGGGCGATAAGCAAAACTCCGTCTCAAAAAAAAAAAAAAAACCAAAAAAATTTCCTTGTTTGTTTTTCCTCATCATTCCCTAATGGTTTGGTATTAAGGTTACACAGGCCTCATAAAATGAGTTTAACATTGGGATTATTTTTCCTCGCACGTTTAGTAGAATTAACTGGTGAAACCATCTGAGCCTGAAGTTTTCTTTCTGGGAATGTATATTATAGGTTCTACTTAAATAATTGGTATCAGGCTATTCAGATCTTCTATTTTTCCTGTACTAGTTTTAGAAGAGTCTTCTTAAGGAAACATACCAGATAAACCTGGAAAATCTTTTCAGCAGAAAGCAAGGAGGCTATTGAAGACTACTTTAGTCATGTTAAACAAAAAAGGCTTGTGCTGATGCCTATGAAGTAGTCTTACCAAAACCAAATCTAAAACCCCTAGATCTAACTATTAATTTTTAGGATATACAGGGGCAGAGGAACATGTTAAATACTACCAAAGGTGTGCAATAATTAAAATCCAAACTGTGAAACTCAATAGCACCAACAACCTAGTTAATCATTAAATAAATTTCAAGAAAAAAGAGATATGGGGAGAACTTATATGTTAAAAGACTTAAGATATGTACGAACTAATCACAATGTATTGACCTTATTTGAATAATTTTTTTTTTTTCTTCTGAGACAGGGTCTCATTCTGTCACCCAGGCTGGAGTGTGGTGGCATGATCACAGCTCACTGCAGCTTTGACCTCCCAATCTCCTCTCCTGAGTAGCTGGGACCACAGTCGTGCACCACCATGCCTGACTAATTTTTGAATTTTTTGTAGAGACAGGGTCTTGCTATGTTGCCCAGGCTGGTCTTGAACTCCTGAGTCCAAGTGATTCTCTTGCCTTGGCCTCCCAAAGTACTGGGCTTACAGGTGTAAGCCATGGTGCCAGGCCTGTTTTTCCTCAAATGTTAAGAAAAAAATGGCATTAGAGAAATATTTGAACACCGAATGAATCTTTGATGATGTTGCCAAGTAGATGATTTTGTTTAGGTGTGATAACTGTACTAGTGTTAGTTTATTTATATTTTTGGTTTGTGTTTTAGAGATGGGGTCTTGCAATATTGCCCAGGCTAACCTCAAACTTTAGGGCTCAAGGAGTCCTCCCACTTCAGCCTCTTAAGTAGCTGGGACTGCAGCATAGGCCATTGTGCCCCTGGCTCTATTATTAGTTAGTTTATTTATTTATTTATTTTGAGACGGAGTCTCACTCTGTCGCCCAGGCTGGAGTGCAGTGGTGTGATCTCGGCTCGCTGCAACCTCTGCCTCCTGGGTTCAAGCAATTCTCCTGCCTCAGCCTCCTGCGTAGCTGGGATTACAGGCACCTGCCACCACGCCTGGCTAAGTTTTGTATTTTCAGTAGAGACAGGGTTTCACTCTGTTGGCCAGGCTGGTCTCGAACTCCTGACCTCAGGCAATCCGTCCACCTTGGCCTCCCTAAAGTGCTGGGATTACAGGCGTGAGCCACCACGCCTGGCCCATATTATTAGTTTTTTAAAACAGTCATTATCTCCTATAGACAATTAAATACTTATGGATGAAACACAATTTCTGTCATTTGCTTGAAAATAATCTTAAGCAGAGGGAATGGGTGGGCATACAGATGAAACAAGATTAACCCTGATGTAATAATTGTTGAAGCTGAATGATGTACGTGGAGTTCATTTTTCTATTGCCTTTGCTCTTGCATGGATTTGAAATGTTCTATAATAAAATTTGTTTTTTATTTATTTATTTTTTTGAGACGGAGTTTCGCTCTTGTTGCCCAGGCTGGAGTGCAATGGCACGATCTCGGCTCACCCCAACCTCTGCTTCCTGGGTTCAAGCGATTCTCCTGCTTCAGCCTCCCAAGTAGCTGGGATTACAGGCAAGAGCCACCATGCCTGGCTAATGGTCGTGAACTCCCGACCTCAGATGATCTGCCTGCCTCAGCCTCCCAAAGTGCTGGGATTACAGGCGTGAGCCACTGTGCCTGGCCAATAAACTTTATTTTTTAATAGAGGACGACTATAAAACCTATGGGAAGCTCTGACGGCACGACTATGACTTGCTTATGTTCACTACAGGTTATCTGGCTAGGCCACTTGCTGAGAAACTCCTGATGTATCTTCAGGTCTATTCTGGTTGGATTTCTCACTGAAAACTGTCTTTTGTCTGGGAGGTGAAAGCCAGACCCTTACCTTTCTGGGAGACAAGGAAAGTAGGCTGGAGGCATTGGCATTCAGAATGCTCCTTTTCCCAAATGGAATTCCTGTCCTCGACTGTGTCTAACCCACATATCCTTTGTTTAACCTTCTTCAGAAAATAAACCTCCAATATTCTTTGGGCTTGAGGACCTAGGACTCTGCTTGCTTCCTAAATAGTCTTTGACAGACTCTCCTCATTTTAGTCTATTCATCCTCATTTCCAGGGGTATATGGTGCCACCAATTCTTGAGTCGTTTAAGATTCTATGATGTAAAATAGATTTGTCTTTTTTTTTTTTTTTTTTTTTTTTTTTTTTTTAGAAAGAGTCTTACTCTGTTGCCCAGAGACTGGAGTGCAGTGGTGCGATCTCGGCTAACTGCCACCTCCCCCTCCCCCTCCCCAGTAGCTGGGACTACAGGCACGCACCACCAAGCCCAGCTAATTTTTGTATTTTTAATAGAGAGACAGGGTTTCACCGTGTTGGCCAGGCTGGTCTCAAATTGCTGATCTCAAGTGATCCTCCCATCACGGCCACCCAAAGTGCTGGGACTACACATGTAAACCACTATGCCTGGTTAGATTTGTCCTTTACTTGCCCCCTTCAGGCTAAAATTTGGCTTTCTTAGATTCAATGTCATTACTACTTATCCATTTTTCAGTTTCCAAAATTTTATAATTGTTTCCTCTGTCATTCTTCCTGATTATGAATGGTTTTACTGTAGCATTAGTGTAGTTCTGAGTGGGAGCAATACCAGATACACGTAGTCAAGCTACAATCCTTACCAAGAAGTATCTTATCATCTTTCTTAAACTTAAATGAAATGGGCATTCTCTATTTCTTCTGTGAAGGTAAAGTAAAAATAATCTCATAATATCAATGTTCCTGGTAAAAATTTTGCTTGCATGTAGAATGTAATTAGATTTTAAAAAGTGAGTTTTACCTGGTGATTTTTGTATGTAAATTATAACTTAGACTAACTCTTGTTTGGTAACTCTTCAGAATTAGAACTACAGATATCTTAGGGTTTCAAGCAACATGTTTTATCATTCAACTATGAACCTGACCTTTGAATTTCTTCAGCATTATTCTTACCAAACTTATTACCTTAGGGCAGAATCTGTTCCAGTTGAGTATCTCCTAAATGTACAGATGTCCTGTAGCTTCTACTTGTGAACTGTAATTCTATTCTGGGATAGTTGCAGAACAAGATTAACCCACTGTTCATAAAGTAGTCCTTCAAAATTTTCAAGACATATCTTTTTTACCTGGTAAAAGTCTAAAATTTACTAAAAAAAATACGCTTTCAAAATGTTCATTTTATGTGTTTAGTAAACATCAAAAGACTTCTGGAGGTCAGGCTAGTAATTTCTTTCTTTCTTTTTTTTTTGAGATAGAGTCTTGTTCTGTTGCCCAGGCTGGAGTGCAGTGACACGATCTTGGCTCATTGCAACCTCCGCCTCCTGGGTTCCAGCGATTCTCCTGCCTCAGCCTCCCGAGTAGCTGGCACTACAGGTGTGCACCACCACGCCTGGCTAATTTTTGTATTTTTATTACAGACAGTGTGTCACCATATTGGCCAGGCTGGTCTTGAACTCCTGACCTCGTGATCCTCCCTCCTCAGCCTCCCAAAGTGCTGAGATTACAGGCGTGAACCACCGTGCCCGGCTCTTATCTGTGATTTCTAAACCTGTTCTCTCCCTGCCTTCCTTTTCACTTTGAATCTCAGCAATCCTGATACAATATGGAGAAGTACCATTCTAGCTTTATGTTAAAAAAATTGCTAAAAATGATTGGTGTTTATAAATTAAAAACTGTTTTGTGCTGAACTGAGGTATAACTTCATGTCTGAAGGATGTGGTGCATGCATATGGGAATTGCCTAGGAAAGCCTGAGCACAGAATTTACTAGTTATGTGATCCTGGGCAAGTTTGTTAATCTTTCTGTGCCTCAAATTCCTCATCTCATAGGGATGTTGTATGGATTTAAAAAGTTTAAATGTGTAAATCCCTTAGAACAGTGCCTAAGACACAGCAAGCACTAATAAGTGTTTATTATTATTAGGAAGTGATTGATAAACTCTTGGAAGTAAATGTGCTCACTGAAAAAATACTGAATAAGAAGGTAAAGGACAATGTCTTTGGGGAATCTCACAATTAAGGGTCAGGAAATCAGGAATAACTAATATAGGAGACAGAAGGACCAGCCTACGAGGTAGGAAAAACAGAAAGTAACACCAGAATTGTTATACTCAGGCACTGGTCAAAATACTAACTGCTGAGGTCTGAGAAACAGTTACTGGCGAGACGGATTTCCTACTCCCATCAAGTTCATGGGTTCTCCATACTTGATGTTTTCTTTTCTTATGTCCAGTAAGATTTGAGCTCACTCTAAAAGCTTTTCCACACTCCTCACATTCATAAGGTTTCTCTCCAGTATGAACTCGCTTATGTCCAATCAGAGCTGAGCCCTGACGGAAGGACGTGCCACACTCACTGCAGGTGTATGGCTTCTCACCAGTGTGGATTCTTTTGTGTTGCCTCAGGACTGAACTATGATGGAAGGCCATTCCGCATACCTCACATTTGTGATGCTTCTCTCCAGTGTGAATTCTTTGGTGATTGGTCAAGTTTGACTTCCCACCGAAAGCTTTCCCACACTCTAAACATTTGTAAGGTTTCTCTCCAGTGTGGATTCTCTGATGGATGGTAAGGCAGTGCCGGTCTTGGAAGGTTTTCCCACAATCTCCGCATTGATAGGGCTTCTCTCCGGTGTGCTCTCGTTCATGAGCCCGGCGCTTACAGTTATGACGAAAGGCTTTCCCACACTCCTCACACCTGTAACGTTTCTCTTCAGTGTGCATCCTTCTGTGTTTGGTGAGTTCTGCCTTGATGCTGAAGTCTTTTCCACACTGGGGGCACCCATAGTGTTTCTCCCTAATATGGATTCGTTTGTGCTTGCTTAGGTCTGAGCTCCGACTGAAGGCCCTTCCACACTCGCTGCACTCATAAGGTCGTTCCCCAGTGTGGATTCTTATGTGTTTGGTGAGGTCTGAACTCCCGCTGAAGGCCTTCCCGCACTCCTCACATTCATATGGCTTCTCTCCAGTGTGGATTCTGCCATGGATGGTAAGGGAATGCTTAAACTGGAAGGCCTTCCCACAGCAGTTACATTCGTAAGGCTTTTCTCCAGTGTGGATGAGCTGATGCATACACAGACAGTTCCTGGTCTTGAAGGCCTTCCCACAGTCCCTGCACTCGTGAGGCTTCTCCCCACTGTGGGTTTTTTTATGTCGGCAAAGAGCTGATCTACTGTTGAAAGCCTTCCCACACTGGGTGCAGTTAAAAGGTTTCTCCCCTGTGTGGATTATCTGGTGCACAGAAAGCTGATTTCTGGTCTTGAATGCTTTCCCACACTCATCACACACATGGGGTTTCTCAGCAGAATGAATCTGCTTATGGAGAATTAGATCTGAGTGCCAACTGAAGTTTTTGCCACACCTGGCACATTCATGGAGTTTCTGTGCTGTACTATTACATCGACTGTATTTTGAGTTTGGATTCGGGTTTTTTCTAAGCACCTTCTGGTTCTTTCTTTTTTTGCAGGTTACTTCCTCAGAGCCTTCTTTCTCTTCTCTCAGTTTCTCCCTTATAGGTGTTTTCCATTGATTCTCTAATTTGACTTCCTGAACACAAACTTCTCTAACCTCAGGATCCTGGGAATCAACTTTTAGGAGACTGTTAGATTTCATCCAGTAGGCTTCTTCATTTTCAAAAATCTGTTGTTGTGAACTTGCCTTTTCATTCTCAGGCCACATCTTACCAGTTGACACTTTAACAAGAAAATACAAATGTCAGAGGAAAGAAAATAAGTGAGATGGGAGGGGTGAAGCAATGTTAAGCTGTTTGAAGAGTAAATAACTTTTCCGTGCTGGAAAAATTACTGACGTTGTGGCCAAAAGTCAGAACAGGCTGAAATGATGAAAAGTATTGAGATATCTTATTTTTTATTTTTATTTTTTTTTGAGATTGAGTCTCTTTGCTGGCCAGGCTGGAGTACAATGGTGCAATCTCAGCTCACTGCAACCTCTGCCTCCAAGATTCAAGTGATTCTCCTGCTTCAGCCTCCCGAGTAGCTGAGATTACAGGCGCCTGCCACCATGCCCGGCTGATTTCTGTATTTTTAGTAGAGACGGGGTTTCACTACATTGGCCAGGCTGGTCTCGAACTCCTGACCTTGTGATCCACCTGCCTCAGCCTCCCAAAGTGCTGGGATTACAGGTGTGTGCCACCACGCCCGGCCTTGAAATATTTTAAACTCAGCACACTTTATAAAAAATCCTTAAAAACCTACTCCTCCTCTATAGTCTCTTAGTTTAGTGAGTGTAAACTTTATATACCTAGTCATCTAAGCCACAAAACGAAATAATCTTCAATTCTATCTCCCTCATATTTACCCAGCTAACATTTTACATTCTTCTACCTGTGAAGAGAGTTACAGAGGAGGTGTTGAAATGCTGATGCAGTCCCTTTTCAAGGAACTGTCTGCTTTGCTCCCAAGGGTGGGCTCTGGAGAGCCATATTTCTGTTATGTGACTCAGCACATCTGGTTGGGACAGATTAGATCCGCGCAATACCTGACCCAAACCAGGCCAGATTCTCTCATCCTGGACTTTAGAATTGTGATCTGAAGGCAGGTAAGGCCAGCTTTAAGAGTAGCTCAGTCTTTAGCGCTTAAATTTGAGAACTAGTGGTGGTGGGATGGTATTTGGTACAGACAAGGGAATGTTCTGCCATCTGGTCTGAGAAGCAGAGGTCAATTTGTCTAGAAAGAAGAATGAAGCTGACTCACAAAGATGCAGGGAATACAGTTGGAAAGAGGGCCCTGATGGTTTCGAGTCTCTTCTAGGTCCTGACACATACCTGCCCTTAGGTCCTATGACACATCCTGAATAATAAATAAATTCATGTTTTTCTGCTTAAGCTAGCTTGGGTTAATTCTATTGCTGGCAACCGAAGACTCCAAATACATCTTGTTAATATTATCTCTGAACTCTATCTCTTCCTCTTTATTTCCACTGCCAGGGCATTCTCACTCACTAATTGCTATATCCCTCAAACATCCTTTAGCCTGAATCCCTTCTAATCTATCCTCTACACTGCTTCCAGATTATTCTTTCTGAAAATCAAGTCTAATCATGTCACTTTTTAGCTTAAAATACTTCAGTGGCACTCCACAGTTAACCAGACAGGAAGAACGTAAAGCATACGTCAAGAGTCCTTGCTCTAGAGTGAGACTGCCTAGGTTCAAATCCTAGTATGACACTTAATAACTCTTAATACCTGTGTGAACTTGGGAGGACACCTTCACTTCTCCTTTGCCTCAGTTGCTTTATCTATAAAATGAGCTCTAGGCTACCTATGATAATTAAATGAGTTAATGTTTGTAAAGCACATGCCACACTGAAGTACTTTAATCAATATTAGCTGTTATTATAAGTTCAAGTTTTGCAGTTTAAATTCCTGGAGAAAACTCCCAAAAAACAGACATCATATCGTGATCTTGCCCCTTTCTACTACTTATGAACCTCCCCAAAGCTATTCTAAGTCCCTTCCTGTACTCATACTGAACAACTCACAGTTCATATTCTTTTATTCCTCAGTGCTTTCTCACATGTTATTCCTTCTGCGTAGAATGCCTCTCACCTGTCTCAATTTATGAGCACTGGAGTAACTGATACACAGAAGGGTGATAAATATTCTGAGCTTTTTTTTTTTTTGAGGTGGAGTCTCACTCTGTGCCCCCGGCTTGGAGTGCAGTGGTGTGATCTCGGCTGTGTCTCCTGGGTTCAAATGATTCTGCTGCCTCAGACCCCCCAAGTAGCTGGGATTACACCCAGCATGCACCACCACACCCAGCTAATTTTTGTATTTTCAGTAGAGATGGGGTTTCACCATATTGGCCAGGCTGGTCTCAAACTCCTGACCTCAGGTGATCTGCCCATCTCGGCCTCCCAAACTGCTGAGATTACAGGCGTGAGCCACCGTGCCCAGCCTCTGAGTTTTTTTTGAAGGCCAAATTGCAAAAATCTATTAGATAGGTTGCAAAGAACTAATTAGATAATGACAGAATAACTGCCCAAATAGTTGGTCATTGTTTCAATTTCTTTTCCTCAAGTTTCCTAAATGTGTTTCCTTTCTGGGCCCTTTGGGCTGGACAATCCACCGAGAATGTTCCATAACCATCATGTCACATGGAAAATCAGAGGGAACTGAAAGTTTCTCTATTACTCACCTGCATAGGAGCAGCTTAGGGACTCCCTGTCCTGTGGATCCTGCACACAGGGCTCTACTCCTCGCTCCAGATGAGAGATTAAAGGAGGTTTAGGAAATGGAAATCCTGGTTGCAGAGAAGAAATAAGTGTGTAGAGTAACATATAACTTAATGCTTAGCCCTGATCCTTCTGTTTGCATATGGAAACAGGAAATAAATGTTAATTTAGAGAAAAGGGGTTTTCAGGGGTCTAGTAACATGTAAAAGAACATGTTTGGGGACTTTCTCAGAAAAGTCACACTCAGAAGGAAAGAGAAGGTTCTGGGAAACAGTCATTTGGGTGTGCTTTCCTGTCTTTTATTTTATTTTGTTTTTGTTTAGGAGAATGGGAGTCTGTATAGGAAGACTATCAGTTTCAGGCACCTAGAAGGTAGTTCATGACTAGGAGTGGAATACAGAACACCTCATAAAAAAATGAGAGGCTTGAGGAAGCAAGAACCCAGGGAAAACAGAAGCTAAGTGTCTCCTTTTCACTCAGGCAGACTCTCATTCCAAATCAAAAAACAGCAGCTAGGTTAGCCAAAAATTATCTTGCTATGTAACAGAGGCAACTCAAAACTCTTAATTTTTGGGCAAGATCCTGATGATAAAGAATAGGGACTCTGACTTTCAATATGAGACCTCATATACATCAATAAATAAAGCAATTAAAAAATAAAAAAAGAAGGTAGAAAGCATTAAGTCAAGTGCAGGGAAGGTCCTTACCAAGTGATACCATGTTCCCATAATTTTCCAACATCACATGCTTATAGAGATGCCTTTGAGCATAGGTCAGACTCTGCCACTCCCTGTTAGTGAAGTTCACAGCTACATCCTCGAATGTCACTGACTCCTGAAATAATATGCTCCTGTTATCCACGAGGAAACACCATAGTTTCCTCAGGAAACAGAGGCAGAAGAAAGGAATTTGCAAGGAGGAGGTTTATAGATGTGAAAGGCTCTTCCCTTTTGTTGGATATTTACAAATGAGATGAAAGGGAGCATGGGGTTTTGATAGCAAAAAATAATGAAAGAGAAAACAACCCACAAGTGGTTTATCATGCAACAAAATGTTCCTTATGAGAGGGAGAATCCTGATTTAGGAGTTGCACAGCCAGAGAACGCAGTGAAAATAAGGCCATATTTTGGAGGTAGTGATGTATTTTCAAGGAGGAGGAAAGGGGCCTCAGCTCACTTGGGCCTGGCTCATCAGTGTGATATCTGCTTGCAGCAGGTTTCCTTGGCTTCCGTCTTTAGTGAAGGCAGGATACTGGGCAGGTAATAGAGCTGAGGGAAGATAAGTAAGCCAAGAGTCAATTTAGCACAGTATTACTCCTGCATTCATCTTCTCTTCCTCAAATGTAGAAGCTTCTGCAGCTCCAACCTAGGGTTTTAGGCTACTGCCTTACAGTTTCCTTCCTCTTCATTATTTTTCTAGTCTCAGCTTCCAGTGTTGGGCATCAGGCCCTGGCACAGCAGCCAAGACGTCTCTTGGAAGTGCACTCTCCTCCTCTCTCACCTACTATGTTTTCCTGTGCTCTTTGCCCTGGAATAAACTTTCCCCCTCACCAAACATCTGGTAACAAGGCCCAAATCACTTACTCCCTGGTTTTGAATAACCCTTCTTCCTGTATTTGAATATTGAAGTCATTTCTTCCAAAATACTTGGGGTAGAAGGAGAGTGAAAGAGTGTGTGTGTGTCTGCACATGTGTGTATGTGTGTGCGTATGTGTTGAACAAAAGCATCCAGAGATGCTTACTTCTTCTGGTAACTTAATGGCTGGTCTACCTCCAGTAGTTTGTTACAAATTTTTTTCCTTACTCTTATTAGAGAAGAATCATTCTTCCCGATTTTGCACCTCTTTCCTACTAATTCCCTAGTACCGAGCTATCCTCCCTACATCAATATAGTATAGCACACACAGCATTTTAAAATGCAAAATAAACTTTATTAAGAATGTCCAAGTGTTCAGGTATAATCCATATGATTGGGTGAGAAGTAGTTTTTATTTTTATTTTTTTTGAGACTTCGTCTCACTCTGTCGGCCAGGCTGGAGTGCAGTGGCACCATCTCGCCTCCCTGCAAGCTCCACCTCCTGGCTTCACGCCATTCTCCTGCCTCAGCCTCCCAAGTAGCTGGGGCTACAGGCACCCACCAACACTCCTGGCTAATTTTTTGTATTTTTAGTAGAGACAGGGTTTCACTGTGTTAGCCAGGATGGTCTCAATCTGCTGCCTTCATGATCTGCCCGCCTTGGCCTCCCAGAGTGCTGGGATTACAGGCGTGAGCCGCCATGCCCGGCTGAGAAGTAGATTCATATTACTAATGAATAGGGCCTGACTTTATTCCTTGCAGACCAGCTCAATCTTTCTGTAGCTTCAATGTTTAAGGTGCCTTGTTTTTCTTGATAGTTTATCAACACATCCCTAAGTCCAAATCTGAATAATTGCTTTCTGCTATTAAGACACCAGCAGGGTGAAAGTAATCTATTGGTAAGATTTTAGGATCACCCTTTGGCTTTAGACCCTCAAGACTATCATTCCATTTTTACCAAAACCCGATTTTAGAACCAAGCTGATTTCTTTTCACTGAAATTGCCCAAGAAGACTCTTCTTTAGTTTCAACTACTTACAGCTTTTGACCAAGACCAAGGCTGCATCTCAGTCATGGTGGTTCCATACAGTTTTTTCTCTGTCTCACTCTAAAAGCTCCGAGTTCCTTTATAACTGTCTCAAAAAGTCTAAACTCACCTGGATGGCACACAACTCACAGAAGACACATGTTTGTGCCTTGTTAATGTTATGTAACAGTTCTTTTCCTTATAACATTAATACACTTAAAGCTCTCAATTGGATGTTTTCAACCATTATTTTATTATGAATATTTTCAAGTACATAGAAAAATTGAAAAAATTATATAGTAAATATCCATATACCAATCACTTACATTCCAGAATTTACGTTCTGTGTATTTGCTTTATCACACACTTATTCATTTATCTATTCCTCTATTGTTCATTAATGTATTTTATTTTTTGAATAATTTCAAAGTAAGTTGAAAGCATCAGTATACTTTACCCCTAAACACTTTAACATATGTATCATTAACTGGAAGTTCAACATTTGTTTACATTCTTTTTTGAGGTAAAATTTGCATATAATGAAATGCACATGTCTTAAATATACCCTTAGAGAAACTCTGACAAAAGCATACCCCTATGTAACTCATTCCCCTCCATATACGTCCCTACTGGTTTTTACCATATCTTCTTCACAACTGGGAAAGTCTGTCACTCATAGTGATTCATAAGCTTTATTTTTTAGCTTTAGCTTTAGAAATTGAAAGGTTATTCCTCTCAAGTTAAAAGTGAATTTAGGAAACAGGCTACATGAAAAAACAACATAAAACTTTTCGTTAGAGCACTATACAGATATTTTGTGGGATGAGATTAATACATTTGTATTGTATTATATGATAGGTGGCTATAGAATTTCTGATCCTGAAAATCCACCACAGCAGATTTCAAGATCTTTTGAGAAAAAAAGGACTGGGAGACTCGTGCATCCGAGTTTAGCAATAGCTATTATTTTCTATTTCTAAATTTATAAAAAAGTTATGTTCCATATTATTAATTCTCATTTGTGATCCCTTGTACAGCAGAATTTCAAGATTCCTCCTCTGGATGTTTCAACACTATATCTAGAAACACATTTTATTTTTATTTTTTGCAGGTAACATATACTAAAAAGCTTACTTTTGAATGTGCCTACTCCTCTGTCCAAAAGTCTGTGCCTTTCTGGGTCTGGTTTTATGACTCCTGAATTGCTATACACCATCTCCTAGGTTGCACCTCCAACAGCATTTTTTTTTGAGACAGAGTCTCACTCTGTTGCCCAGGCTGGGGTGTAGTGGCATGATCTCAGCTCGCTGCAACCTCCGCCTCCTGGGTTCAACTGATTCTTCTGCCTTAGCCTCCTGAGTAACTGGGGTTACAGATGCATGCCACCATGCCTGGCTAATTTTTGTATTTTTAGTAGAGATGGGGTTTCATCATATTGGCCAGGCTGGTCATGAACTCCTGACCTCAAGTGATCTACCCACCTAGGCCTCCCAAAGTGCTAGGATTACAGGCATGAGTCACTGCGCCTGGCCCACCATCAGCTTTTATACAAATCTTAACCACTTTTCCTCCTCACATAAGCCCCCAAAGAGCACAGGGCTTCAATGGGAAAACTTTTGCTTCTTCTTTTGTCACTGCTTTATTTTATATTTCGGAGATATCTATACATCATTTAAAAGTATCAGGGCTCCAAAAAGGTCTGCAGAAATAAAATTGTATATATTCAAATTTTACATGTTGGCAAAATTATGCTTGGGTCGGAATTACTGAATTATACCACAAGTTTTACAAGTGTAAAATATTATGTGTGAATATTTACCATATATCTCAAGTTATACAAATAGTAAATGTCTGACTGCACTGAGTCTCTCTGATAAATTGCTTTGTAGAATCTTTTATGAATTTTTTTCAAAATTTAAGATACAGACAAAAACTGAATATTTAGTTCCTCTAAGATATTGATCCAAGCCTAGTATAGAAACAAAATAAGACTTTCTATAAATGCTCATTAATGAACAGATTTTTGGGCCCCAGTGTGGCATTCTGCACCCACTTTGTGTCCTTACTCCCTTCTCAGCTGCCATGACTCCTGCCACAATCTCCTGTGTACCTCACCTCTTTCCTGAGGGAGCTGGGTATCCTGGGGGGTCCAAAGCAGCTGGCTTGGTGGTCCTGAACTCTCATCTGACAGCACAACCTATCGCAAGGCATAGAATGAATTCAGGAAAGTTATGAAGGTGAGAAAAACACATAGGAATATGCAAGCAACCATACAGGTCTATCCATGGAAATTGTCTCCCAGAAATACCAAAAGGGGAAAGAAAATAATGGACTCAGTTCCTAATACCTTATGAAAATTAGAAATGGCATCTACAACTACAAAGCTTTAATGATCACCAGGTCAAGCAGGAAAAACAGTATCTAGGAGGAGATACCTCCAACAGTATCTACAGTCAGACACACCACCACTCACATTGCTTTCCTTCTTTCTTGGACTCACTTCTCCTTCTTCCTCCTTGTGATATATCACAGACCCTCCTCTTCTTACCTCCTGCATCTTTTTACCCAGGTTTCTTTAACAGTCTTCCACTGCTGTCCTGGTTTCTTCCTACTGGTCAGATCCAGTTCTCAAACAAGCCGTGAAGTGGCTCCAGTTGATGCCAGCCTCCTTTGGAGAACACATATTTTGGTGGTGCCAGCCAAAGGGCCCTTCTGACCCACAGGGCAGCTGCTGTTTGGCTTAATGTGTCAAACACTGCCCTGGATTTGGGTTTCATTAGCAACACTAAACCAGCTGTGATCTCACTTCTTGTTTCCTTGCATATTTGGTGAAGGGAAAAGAGGAATGTGACCACAGAAAAAAATAGGGAGTCACTGAGAACCTGAGGCAGGAAGACAAACTGAAAATGTGAACATATCTAGAATACAATCTCTATTGCTACCACCTTTTTCTGAGCCACCGTCACCTGCTATCTCCCCTCCTTTCCATTACTGTGGTAGCCTTCTAACTGGTCTCCTTTCTTCAATCCTTGCCTTCCTCCTGTCTTTCTTAATAGAGCAGTTTGAGTGGTCCGTTTACAACTTGAGTTGGATCATTTCATCTTTCTGCTGAAAACTCTCCAGTGGCTCAACCTTACTTAGAATAAAAGCTGAAGTCCTTACAGAGGTATGCAAGGCCCTATTGAATGTGCCCACTACTTCTAACTTCCTCTCCTGCTCATTCAAAATAAAAGCTGAAGTCTTAAGAGTGGCACACAAGTCTACAGGATGTGTGATTCTCAACACCTTCTACTCTTCTCCCACTCCCTCAATCTTCTTCAGCCACACCGACCTTCCTTCTCTTCCATCTTAGGGCCTTTCCATTGGCTGCTCCCTTCACCTCAAGCGATCTCCATGGCTAATAATCTTGCCTCCTTCAAGTGTTTTCTTCTATGTCATCTTCCCAAGGAGGTCTACTCTAACTAAGAGCCTTATTTAAGATTGCAACTTATCCCCTCCTTCCAATCCTGATGTGCCTTACCTTGCTTTACGTGAATTCTTCTTTTTCTCTATAGCGCTTTATCACTTTCCATTATGGTGCGTAAGTGACTTATTGATATATACACTGTTTATGGTCGTTCTACCTCTGCTAAAATGTAGGCTTTTAGGCTCCGTGAGGGCAGGAATTTTTGTCGTCTTGTTCACTGTTGTATTCTCAACGCCTAAAATAGCGCTTGCAATAGTATGTGCTGGATTAAAAATTAGCTGACTGAATGAATATATGAATGGGTGCTGTAGAGAAGAATAAAAAGAATGGGTCACGGGGTGACAAGAGCAAAACTCCGTCTCAAAAAAACAAAAACAAACAAACAAAAATAACCAGAATGGGTCAGGGGCCCCTGGAAACAGGAGGAGGGGAGGAGGTAGGGCAGACAGGCGGGAAAAGCTCATTTTGGGGAATGGCTTCGGGGGAGGAAACCGCAGTAGACCCCCCTCCTCAAATCTGGCCCCAAAGCCCCGCCCCTGCCTGTAACCCCAGGGGCCCGGGTATTTAGGTGAGGGGGGCGGCGGCGCCAGACTCCTCTCATCTGCAAATCCCAACCCACGCCGTCCCAAAGCACAGACCTTCCCGCAGATACTCTCCCCAAGAAATAGAAACAGAACTACACAGAAGCTCCACTTCCTAGTCCGCCAATTATCATTTCCGGTGATTTTCTAGGAAAGGCATCAACTCTCTGGTCTAGGCGTTCCCTCAAACTCTCCGCCCTCCTCGTCGCGGCTCAGCCTTGTAGGAGTTCTTGTGCGTTTATGGCGGGTGCAAAGGGGTTGCAGAAATGTTGCACTTTTGCCCCATTTTTCCCATGTGGAGGAACCTCTAGATAGGAATGGACAGAAGTTTTGTGACAAATATATGAAAAAGTTACTTTTAAATATTAACTAAGAAGACAAATAATTGAATGTTTTTTCCAAAAGCAAAGATTATTTTAAGCCTATGCAGAAGTCGAAAGAAAAGTATAATTAACCCGCATATACCCATCATTTACATTTAAAAATACATAAAATTCTGCCACACTTGTTTCATCCATCTCCATTTTTTTTCTTGCTGAAACGTTTTAAAGCAAACCCCAGATATGTTACTTTCAACTTCATTATGCAGTTCTTTTAAAAAGGATATTTTCCTACAGAATCACAATACTATTATCCCATTTAACAAACTAATTCCTGGTTATCATCTAATACCAAGTCCATATTATATTTCCCTAAATATATACATATGCTTCTTACATTTGTTTTCATTTTCATTCAAGATCTAAAGTCCATATGTTTAATTTGGGCATGTGTCTTAATTCTTTTAAAATTCACATCTGAATTAGTTCCTCCTTCCATCCTTCTCTTCCCCTGCCCCTCATATAGTCAACTAATTGAACAAATTGGGACATTGTCCTAAATGTTCTACATGCTGGCTTTGTCTATTTGTGTCCCCATTTCATTAGTTTCTCTAGCCTTATATTTCCTGTAAAACTTGATGTTACCTCTAAAGGTTTGATTAGAGTTAGGTTTAACTTTGTTGGTAAGAATCCTTAAGTGGTGCTATATACTTTTTGCCATACATTAGGGAGCATATAATGTTTTTGATGCTAAGATTGACCAACGGGTTTAATACTTGGCAGCTGAATCCCTCCATGTAAACTTTCCCACTGGTTTTTAATCTGATAGATTCAGCCACCGATGATTTTTGCCAAAATCAACCATTTCAATAGAGGTTGTAAAATTGTAATTTTTCTAATTCAATAAGTTTTTCACATTTATTAGTTAGAATTCCTCTATAAAGAAAAACTTTCATTCATCATTTTAACAACTCAGGGCTATTTGGTTATCCTGAAATGTAGTTTGTACAGGAAAGACAGACTGTTTAATTTTCAACATAATTGCCAATTTTCAGAAAAAGCAGTTGTGCCTTAGGTGCCATCAATGGTAACCATCTTACAAAATGTGATAGCCATCCTACAAAATGGCTGGCTGAGCCCTACTGTCCAGCATTCACATCCTTGTGTAGCCCCCTTCCACATTGTACCACGGTTGGTTTGTGTGACTGGATGATCTGGTAAAAGTGATGCTATGTTTTTTTTAAATTTGTTTTGTTTTTTGAGACAGAGTCTTGTTCTGTTGCCCAGGCTGCAGTGCAGTGGCACCATCTTGGCTCATTAAAATCTCCACTTTTCGGGTTTAAGTGAGTCTCCTGCCTCAGTTTCCCAAATAGCTGGGACTACAGGCATGCACCAGCATGCCCAGCTTATTTTTATATTTTTAGTAGAGATGGGGTTTCACCATGTTGGCCAGCCTGGTCTTAAGCTCCTGGCCTCAAGTGATCTGCCTGCCTTGGCCTCCCAAAGTGCCAGGATTACAGGCATGAGCCACCGCACCTGGCCGATGCTACATTATCTCCAATATTAGGTTATAAAATAATCTATGACTTCTGTTTTTGTCTCTTTTTCTTTCTTAGGTCACACACCTGTGAGAAAGCCAAATGCCATGTTGTAAGGAGAGGCCCATGTGGTGAGGAACTGAAGCCTCCTGCCAGCAGCCACATGAGTGAGTTTGGAAGTGGATCTTTCTATGTTAGTAAAGCCTTCAGATGACTGCAGTCCTGAATGATGTCTTGGGTGCAACCTTAGGATATACACAGAACCACCAGCCAAGCTGCTCCCAGACTTCCAGTCTGCAGAAACAGGGGAATGGTTTTGAGTGAGGAAACTGCAACCGATATTTGGTTCTAAGTTTTAGGATAGTGCATCAGTTGATAACTAATGCAGAATTTTGTTTTATCTTTTTGCACATCTAATGTGCACTAAAGCACAATCTTTTTGTGCAACTAATGCAAAATTTTGTTTTCTCTTTTTGTGCACATCAAGTGTTCTGCATCAGTTGATAACTAATGCAAAGTTTTGTTTTCTCTTTTTGCATATCGGTATGAACACATGGATTTAAAAAAGTACATTCAATGAGTCTCAATCAGTTGCAGTCGTTATTCTTTTTAATGTTCAAATTATTTCATCTTTGATCAGTGGGAGTCCCTTTATTTTATCTCCTGTGTCCTTTTCATCCAACTTTAAGCATCTTTGCTTTTTTCCTTTATGGCAAGATAAATGTTTCAGACACATGTCATACATTTCCTGCCTCAGACCTGAAATCAGCCATTTTTCCAAGGTATTCTGGTGCTTTCAGTGGAGGCAAGGATTGCATACCTTTGTGAATAGTCATGGTTAGCTGCTTTAAAAATGTATCAAAATGAAATAAAATTTGCTTAAGTGTGAGATTAAATCCAGGCTACCCCACTCACAATATGTGTGTATCGTACCTTAGACACACCCTAGTTTGTCTATCTACAAAATAGGTCCAGTGTAAATACCTAAATTTCAGAGCTGTTATAAGGATAAATTATATGGAAATATAATATATTAAGTTATGGAAATCACTTAACACAATGCCTGGCATCAAATTTCATGATCAGAATAATTGCAAACCTGGAAGATACTATAATGGTAATGAGGCACACTTTCTTCATTTTACACTTGAGAAAATTGAGGCCCAAGAGATTAAAAACTTGCTTGAACATACAAAGGAGGATAAAATTAGAAGAGAATCTAATGACTTCACACTCTTGGATCTCATACCTAGGCTACTTTGGATATAAATGCAGCCTTTCCAGCCCAGTGGATCTTCTTTATTCAAAGACAAAGGAGGTAAGAAAACACTTGGCACAGTACTAATAAAGTGGTATTATAGGAAGTGCAACAACTTTATATTGAGAAGATTTGGTTCCTGATTCTGCAACTTGTTAGCTATGATACTGTGAGCAAGTTACTTAATTTCTCTGTGTCTTTTTTTTTTTTTTTTTTTTTTAGTGGGGGCAGATTCTTGCTCTGTCGCCCAGGCTGGAGTGCAGTGGCACTATCTCAGCTCACTGCAAGCTCCGCCTCCTGGGTTCACGCCATTCTCCTGCCTCAGCCTCCCGAGTAGCTGGGACTACAGGCGCCTGCCACCACGCCCAGCTAATTTTTTTTTTTGTATTTTTAGTAGAGATGGGGTTTCACCGTGTTAGCCAGGATGGTCTCGATCTCCTGACCTCGTGATCCACCCACCTCGGCCTCCCAAAGTGCTGGGATTACAGGGTTGAGCCACTGCGCCCGGCCATTTCTCTGTGTCTTAATTGCTGCATCTGTAAAATAGTGAAAACAAATCCCTTATGCACAAGTTCATTGTGAGAGGGTTAATATACACATATTATATATGAAAATGCTTGACCATATTACTTGCTGAATAAAAATCATTATACAAAAATAATTTCTTCAATCCCCCAATTTTATAATTTTTTTTTCTCATCTAATGGAAATTGGCATTTTAAGTGGAATGATCCTTAAGGATACTAAGTCTATAATTTTGTAAATGACTTCAGTGAATACTGTGCAAAGGCACTGTGCAAGGAGCTACAAGAGAGATGCTATGCATGGTCACCTACCCTCCAGGCTGACTGGGTACAGTCTTTCCTTCCAATGTTAATCTACTTAACAGTAATAATGTCCAGTTCACATATTTTTGTGTGATACATTCATGAAAGACTGCTATACCCTTTGCTGTTATAAAGATACTTCCACAGTAGATCCTTAGCATATACTTTAATAATCTTGTTCGATTGACAGACATTTATTTACACTATTTGTTCTTGGCTAACCACAATCGCTCATAAAATATCTCCTAAAATAATTAATACTGGAATTTTGCCAAGGATCCATGTCAAATTTTTCACCCTGTTAATTCCACAGTCTACCGTCTTACTTTTTGAAAATTTGGATATTTGTCAGACTTGGGCATTTGTTGCACTACTCAAAAATGGACTTCAGGGGTCCTGTGGCCAATCCTCCTGAACTTTAGGATGCTTTAAGCTGGGCATGAAAACTTGTAGTTACTCTTTTACTACCTTCCTTAGGTAAATGTTTGTCCTACTATTCTCAACTTGAAGATCATGACACTTGATGGAGATATGAAAGCCTGATTATGTTAAGTAATTCTATGGCCCTTCTGCCATCTGTCAAAATTACAAAATTCATTTCCTGGGGCTTTTGGAAAAAAAAAACAGCAAATATTTCAGGCATATTAAAGAGTAATATAAAGAACACTCAACATCTAGCTTAAGACATAAAAGATTATACACACAATTAAATCATCGTGTCTACTCCTCACCAATTCCTTCCCCCTTCCTTCCCAGGTTAACTACTATCTTGATTTTGATGTTATTATTCCTATGCATGTTTACATATTTTTAGTACATATGTGGGTAGCCACAAATATTATTTAGTGTAATTTACATGTTTTACAAATTTTATACAAATAGTTTCACTTTGTACATATCCTTTGTGCTCTAAAGACTTGATTTCATTTTGGTTCAATATTTTTGGCAAGAATACATTATAGGGGTTACTATGTAATTTGTACTCAACTTTACGGTTCTGAGATTTATCCTTCATGAAAAATGTGGCTCTAGCTCATTCATTTTAACTGCCATAGACAGGTCTTTCCATTTTCCCTCCAATAGTCTTTTTAATTAACCTGATGGTTTT